CTGGCAGGGGGGGGGCCCCCCCAGCTCCCGGCTGCCTCGGCCAGCACAGCGGTGGCCACAGCCATGGAGAGCCTGCCCACAGCTACCAGCCCTGTCCCCAGCCCTGCTGTGGCCACCACTGCCGGGACCTCGAGTGATGTGGGGACGAGCCCTGCCCTGGAGAGCAGCCCAGGAACCTGGGGACAGGCAAGCACCCTGGCGACACCAGTCAGCCCCACCATCCCTGCCACACCGAAGCAGGCCCTGGAGGAGGAGGACATCAGGAACATCATCGGTGAGTGCCTGCAGGTCCTGCACCGATCCAGCTGTGCACATGGGGGCTGCTCGTGCCCACGGTGCGTCCTGCTAAGCACAGCACAGCTGGATTTGGTCACGGGTGGGAGGTGTCATGGAGATGATGGCTGGACAAACGCTTTATTGGGGCACCAGATTTTACTTGCTTGTTAACTCTGGAACCTACTGTAGCCCCCTTCCACTTTGAGGGGCTGGGCAGGGCAGGAAGGGGCCTTCATGGGGACAGACCTGGGACAGGTCTCAGTCAGGGCAGGGCTATGGGGAGCTCTTTGCAGGATCCAGCTGGCACTGCTGGGCCTTGTGAGGCTGAGCCCAGGCCAAGGCAGTGGGGATACCTGCTGGGTGGGCAGGGAGCTGGAGGGGGGTGATGCCCACAGACCCCTGGCAGGAGTGGGTAGAGCGTGGCCGCCCTGCCTCAGGCCTTGCAAGCCTCTCTCTGCACGTGCAGGGCGCTGCAAGGACACACTGTCCACCATCTCGGGGCCCACCACCCAGAACACCTACGGGCGCAATGAGGGGGCCTGGATGAAGGACCCCCTGGCCCGGGAGGAGCGGATCTACGTCACCAACTACTACTATGGGAACACGCTGGTGGAGTTCAGGAACCTCGACAACTTCAAGCAAGGTGGGCTTGCGCCATCCTTGATGCTGTGCCAGCTGCCGCTCGGCTGGTCCAAGTAGCGTCCCCGTTCTCTGGGATGCTGCAGCATGGGGGGGGATGCTCTGCCTGGGGACCCTCCCCTCTTGGGCACCGGTACCTGCTCCCCCCAGAGCATGGGGCAGGTTGGGCTGCCCATGGTGGCTCTGGACTGGCTTGTCACCATGCCAGGCTGCGGCTGGTGGCCGGGAGGGAGTGCAGGCAGGGTGGGGGACAGAGGGTGCTGGGGGCTGCTGCGGTGGGGCCGCCCACCCCAAAGTAAAAGGGAGGGTCTCACCAGCACGGTGTCTCTGCCCCGCAGGGCGCTGGAGCAATTCCTACAAGCTCCCATACAGCTGGATCGGGACAGGGCACGTTGTCTACAACGGCTCCTTCTACTACAACCGGGCCTTCACGCGCAACATCATCAAATACGACCTGAAGCAGCGGTACGTGGCTGCCTGGGCCATGCTGCACGACGTGGCCTACGAGGAGTCCACCCCGTGGCGGTGGCGGGGCCATTCGGATGTGGACTTTGCCGTGGATGAGAATGGCCTGTGGGTCATCTACCCGGCCATCAGCTACGAAGGCTTCAACCAGGAGGTGATTGTGCTGAGCAAGCTGAACGCGGCTGACCTCAGCACCCAGAAGGAGACCACGTGGCGGACGGGGCTGCGGAAGAACTTCTACGGGAACTGCTTTGTTATCTGCGGGGTCCTGTACGCGGTCGACAGCTACAACAAGAGAAACGCCAACATCTCCTACGCCTTTGACACGCACACCAACACGCAGATCATCCCCCGGCTGCTCTTTGAGAACGAGTACGCCTACACCACGCAGATAGACTATAACCCCAAGGACCGCCTGCTCTACGCCTGGGACAATGGGCACCAAGTTACCTACCACGTCATCTTTGCCTACTGAGACCCCCCACCACAGTGGGGCACCGCGAGCCAGGGGCCACCAGCACCTTTTATTATTATTTTTATTGTTATTATTGTTATTTTGTACAAATCAAAGGGTAAATGATGGGTTTTGTTTCAAGCTGTTTGTTTTTTTTTAATGGTGGATTGTAGATCGATCCCCAGGCCAGAACCACCCCCTTTGTCTTTGCTGTAACCTTGCTTCTGCTTTTCCTTCCCCCGGGGAAGAGGTCCTCCTTTGGGAGGGCAGACCCGGCTCTCCTGCCTGCGGAGGAGGCGGTGGCCCAGACACGGTCCTCCTGATGTGGTTTTTTTTTAGCTAAAGATGATCGGCACAAGACCCAGAACGTGGTGCAAAGCTGGCCTTTCTGCTGCAGGCACCAGGTCCCAGTGGGACGGTGATGTCTGCCTGTCCTGGTGGAGGGGGTGTGGGTCCCATGGGAATGTCCCGTCTCTCAGGACCATCTCCCCAGCCGATGGCCAGCAGGCCCTTCGGCGATCCTGCTGTACAATGGGGCTGCGAGCGCAGCGCCGGTAGCCCCTGGTGCTGGCACTTATGCCGAGGACTGTCCCCTCCGGCTGGGACTCTGCCCTTTGCAACCTGCTCGGGGGGTCTGGGCACACCCCAAGCCCTGACTCGCGTCTGAAGCAAGCTGGTGGCAGGAGGGGGACACTGTAAATATGTGTAGATGGCTTTTGTTTGTTCATTTTGTAACCTGAAATAGCCACCTTTGGAATTTGCCGGGTGAAGGCTCTGGTCTGCCAGGCGCTGGGCTGCCTGGGCAGGGAGCTGTGGGGCTGGGGGAGCCCTCGCTCCCCGTCCCGCTCCTGCTCCACCTCCCGCAGGGTCCCAGCCCGTGTGCCCTCTCCCTGCCTCACTCGCCCTGGTCCCGGCTGTTGGCCATTGGGAGCCCCTCGCAGAGGCACAGCCCCTGCCCTTCAAGCCCGGCAGCATCTTGTATTTACCTGTTGTTAATAATAAAAGATCAAGTACGTTTGCAGCTGTTCGGGGCTTTCTTTGGGTGCATAGAAATGCACAGGGTTTTTTTGGGTGGGTTTTGGTTGGTTTGGAGAGTGCCAGTTCACAGAAAGGCACAGCCAGAGGGGACCTCGGGGGGGGCTGTAAGCTGCTTGGTCCTGGCACCAGGGCAGGACGGTGTGGCCATGTCCAGCCCTGAGAAGAGCTTGGCTCTGTCACAGCTGCAGTTGCCCTCAGGTCGCCAGGGGCTGCGGTGAGGCCCCCTCTTCCCCGGACTGTGGGCGAGTAGCTCATGGGGGCTGGTGCAGGGTGCCCCCTCCCCAGGAGCAGGAGCGGGGGTCTGGGTCCATGTGCCTTGTGCAGTGCCAACGCTGTGCTGAGCAGAGCCATACTGCAGCCCAAGAGATATCAGGCGCCATGCTGGCCTTCTAGTCATTTGCTTAAGTAGAACAGTATTAACAAGCAAAATAAAAATAATAATAATAAATAAAAGAACCATTTTATTGCCTTCAGTGCTAGGGACACAAGGAACAGAACTACACAGGATAAGAGATGCCCTCCACCACTGGAGCCCAGGGGTGCTGGCTGAGGATGTGGTGCCACAGCAGTCCCCGGCCCCCAGCACCAGCCCTTTCCAGTGTGCCGGGCTGTGCCAAGTTCAGCCACCACCGCCGGGTCCCCTCCCCAGCTTCCCGCCAGCAAATGACCCCCCAGAGCAGCCGGCCGCCCCTGCCCGGGGCTGCGGGGGAGCTGTGTGCCTCTGGCTGGGGCACCGCTGGGGTTTTTATTTTTGACTATTGTGTGAGCTGGCCCAAAGTCAGGTGGGGCCGGGGCCAGGAAAACAGAACTGGTGCAAGGAGCGCAGCCAAAACCCTCGCCGAGCCCGGCTGCTTCCCAGCAGCGCGAGCGCCGAGGGGACGGGGGGCCTGTGCAGCTCGCGCTGACTACGTGGCAAAGGGCAAAGCTTTTCCATAGTGTTGGCAAGGCACATACTTTATGGGGGTGTATTGCTCCTCACCCTCCTCCTCGCTTCCCCCTGAGCTGTTTGTCTTGCTGCAGGATCAACCTTTATTTCCTAACAAACAGCCACACACACTAATAATAATAATAATAAACTGAAGCCCATCATCTTCTGTGCTAACTGCAAAGGGGAAAAAAAAAATAACGTAACATGCTGAAGTCATTACGAAAAGCTGATGCTCTGCTGGCGGCTCATCGCAGCTGAGCACCGCAGTGCACCGTGTGCTGGAGCCCCTCGGCTCAGCTCCGGCCCAGGGCTTGGCTGACAAACTTGGGACCAGTTAATAGAGCTCTGCAGCAGGCTTTGTAACTGCAGCAAGAGCCATGTCTGGTAGCTCAGTGCTGGGGGGGGGGGCAAACGGCACACTCCCCTGCTGCGTGATGGGTGGCTGTCAGTGCTGGCAAGGCAGGGGAGGGGTGTGTGTGGGTGTGCGCACGTACACGGGCTGTGCACGTCTCTCTGTGTGTCTGTGTTTCAGGAGGAAGGTGCTGTGGCTGTGTCCCACTGAACTGGAGCAGCTCTTCGGCCCTGGCAGGGCCAGTGCTGATCTGTAGGCTGTTAACTGTGAAAAGCATTAAATATCACAAAAAAACTCAACAAACCAACAAACAGAAAAACAACACCCAAACAAAAAATGGAGGAGGGAATGACAGAAAAAAAAAGGGGGGAGGAAACAAAACAAAACAAAACAACAGCAGTACAATCTTTAGAAATGCATGTGCTGCACTAAATTGCCACCCTTGGGCCAAGCCCCAGCCTTTTGCCATGTGTCCCTGTGAAGACAGCAGCACTGCGTGGGCGAATCCATGCAGGTACGGGGCTGTGGGTGAGTGTTTGTGTGTGTGTGTGTGCGCGTGTGTGTGTACAGTGCCTGGGAGGGCAGCCCAGGCCCCGTACCACCCAGGCACGCTGCTCGCAGTGTCCAACCAAGGGCTGCCCCCGGCAGGGTGACTCCTGGGAGCGGGGCCACGCTTTGTGGCAGTGCGGGTCGTTCTGCTTGTAGTGCTTTGGCTGTAAGTGTGGGTTCCCACCGCCCTGCTGGGTGGCTGGGGCTGGGCTGCTCCACAGCACACCACTGCAACCCTGGGCAGGAGCCCACTGCTTCCCAGCAAGGAGGCTGCATGGGCACGGACTTGGGACAGGTGTGTGGATGTGTATGGGGGTGACAAGAAGTGAGACAGTCCGGCCAGGCCCAGCACAGCCACTCTGGCAGAGGAGGGATGCTCCTGGTCCCGGGGCGCAGGGCCAGAGCTGGGGCGGCAGGCCTGGTGTGGGATGCAGGGTCGAGGCTCTCCCTGCACCTGCAGCTGGGCGACGGATACTGCTTCCCCCTCCTGCCTCTGCGGCAGTGTCTCTGGGCAGGACCCCCAGCGCTCAGCTCTCCACCTCAGGAGACTGTTTAACAGGGCCAAAAAAAAAAAAAAAACCAAAAAAACCCAAAAACCACCACCAAAAACAACCCCACACCCCACGATTTTGGACGGTGCATAAGTAGCAAGGATGGCCCGTGCCCCTCTGGTGCCAGCCCCAGGCACCAGCTGCTGATGCCAACACCAGGACCGCAGCAGCGTGCATCACCCGCACCCCTGGCACCAGGCATTGCATGCTGTGTGGGTCCCCCCAGCCTGTCCCCGGCAAGGGGCCAGCTGAGCTGTATAATCCCTGGGCAGGATGCAGCCTTTGGGTAGGGTCAGGCACAGGAATGGGCTAAGCGGGGTCTGCCCTTGCTGTGCCGATGTGCCAAGAGCCCGCTGGTGAAGGGGCGCAGCCTGGCAGCAGGACCTGCTGCATGCCGGGTGCACGGGCCGTGCAGCTACACCGCAGGAGCTACTGCAGGGATTTGACAATAGCCCTCAGGGCATGGGGCGTCTCCGGGACGGAGGGAGATGCACTGTAGAAGGTGTTGGTGTCGTTTCTGCGCTGCTCTCGGAGGTACGGAGGGACAGACGAACTTTTGATGTGGAGGATCCTGGTATCCATCACTTCACAATCGATCTGCATCATCACCTCGTAGTCCTGCCCATTGATCACATTCTCTGCAAAAGTAAGGGGAAAAAAGAGTCAGAGTTAGCCCTGCAAGCTAGTGACCTAATGGCACCAAAAGCAGAGCTTTCTGGACCTTTTTTTTTTCCTGGAGCAGGAGCTGGAGGGGGCAACCCCTTCCTTTTTGCAGCTCCACACATGGAACTCCATCTCACACAGCGCAGCGCCAGCCTGCTCGTGACACCTCAAAGGGCCCAGGCCACGCTTAGCATGTCCAGTCACACCTAGAAATTAATGCAAGTCTTTTCCACTTCTTCTTCCGCACATAATTACCAATGGAGTTCACCTTGTATAACATTTATTACTGAACTGTTTTCTTGAACCACTAAAGCGTAGGCGTGATTGAAGATAGGGCTTATTTGAGAAAGATGAACGTTTCACTTTCCTTTTAGTGGTTTAAGAATACTGTAACCCTCTTGACACTGAGGATCTAGAGGAATCTTCACCAGATTATTAATAAACAAAGTCAAAATGCTACCTCTCGAAAGAATTAATGGCACCTCATTACCACGCTGACCTGGCTGTTGTACTGGTGTGACGTTGTGGTGTGACATTGGACAAGGCCATTACCCTTGAGAGGCCTCTGGACCCGGGGGAACCCAGGCCAGGACACGGGACCCTGGCGTCAGGGCATGCCAGGCTGCACCACCGTGGCGCGGCCCCAGGCCGGGCACGTCTGCTGCCACAGGAGCTCCTGGGCTTGCAGGCAGAGGCTGTGCACATGGTCAGCATCTGCTGCCTGGATTTAAAGGTGGGAGACTGTTCCCTGTGTAGACAGTGTGTCCAGGAATGTAAGAGCCGAGATCGGATTTCCAGGCACGACCAATCTTTGCCTTTCAGAGTCAGAAACGCTGCCTGCCATCGGCAGGGTTTTCTTTCTGTGCTAAGAAGGATGGAAGATCACCTAATGGAAAGCGTATGGATTGGAGGAATGCAATATACATTACTAATTTTTACTGTTTTCCTGGATTAACTCTGACTCTGGATGACAGCTGACAACCACGGCCGGACCCTCTTGTACCCCACGCCACCTGTAGAAGCCATTAGATCAAGTATGTCTGGTATAGTAATGAAAAGTAGGAGCAAACCCTTGCTAAGGGAGCTGAGGGCCTGCAAGGGAAATCAAAGCTCCCACCTGCAGAAATGAAACGGAAAAAGCTTTGT